GTTAGTGTTAATGTCTGAAATAGTTAAAATAATAGAATTACACGGCTCTACTGGCAAATCCGGACGAAGAATAAAAAGCCTTGGACGACTTAGTCAGAGTTCTCTCCCTTGGCCGCACTCCAAACAGTGATCAGAAAAGCCACAACGAAACAAACGACACACTTACCTATCATCCTATGGTTGCGTGTAGGGCTGCGTACGGTTGCGTGAGGCATCGTGAAGGGATGCGTGGTCATCATATGGTTGCGTGCAGGGTTTGCGTACGGTTGCGTGAGGCATCGTGAATGGTTGTGTAGTCATCATGCGGTTGTTGGGTTAGAGTTAGGGGTAGGGTTAGGGTTAGATGTGAAAATTTTGACGTAGGATTTCGAAATACTGGCCGACAATCTGATGTTTGTGGGAGTGGCGCCACTGAAACACTGCCAAATATGACGCCAATAGCGTGCGGCTGGTGCCCCCAATCGTTGGCGAATTGTGCGTTTGACCAGCATCCAGAGGCCCTCGATTGTTTGTGTGTGTGTATGGGACTGTGCGCGATTATAGGGAAATCCGGCGTCAAAATTGTCCAATCTAACGCTAAACCTAACCCTACCGCTAATCCTAATCCTACTCCCTAACCCTAACCCCTACCCCTAACCACGCAAATTTATCGATCATTAAAGCATACAAATCGGCAAAAACCAACACACAAAACACACCAAAAAAAACACAACAACCCAGATTTGTCCTGCAGCGTCGAAAAAAAACCCAGATCTGGGGGAAACAACCAAGCATTGGCATCCCTGATGTCGACGTGACTGTCTTCTTTGTTTCGTTGGCTTTTCCGATCACTGTTGGGAGTGCGGCCAAGGGAGAGAACTCTGACTAAGTCGTCCAAGGCTTTTTATTCTTCGTCCGGATTTGCCAGTAGAGCCGAATTACACTACTAAAGGAAAGGGGGTGAATCGGAAGAAAACAAATAGGTGGTTGAGTTATAATGAGTAAAAAGAAAACATTGAAGACAAAATCTGACAGCTGCAACAGACTTTTAGACATTTATATTGACGAAGCATAGGTCGAACAACAAACACAGCAGACTGTAATGCTTTGTCTAGAATACACAAACATTTAAGAAAGAGATTTGATTGGTAGGTTCCATTGTCTTACACATCATTTACATAAATAAACAGGAGGAACTCTTGAAGCCGTGTAAATATTATATATAAATACTAGCTGTACCCGGCCACACGTTGCAGTTTGGCTAAATGGAAAAGAAATAAAATAGAAATCGCACGTGTCTAATATGGTTAATGTCGCAATCATTGTCTGCGCACATACAGAGATAGTCATCGATGCCCCCCCCCCCCCCTCCCAAAACCACCTACTACTCGCTCCCTCATCAAAGGCTTTTGAAAAAGAAAGACAATAGAAATCGCACGTGTCTAATATAGTTAATGTCGCAATCATTCTCTGCACAGATATTGAGATAGTCTGGTTTGCCACTTTAGAACGTGCAACATATAATTGCGTCTTTATATTAGTAGTAGTTTAATTGGTATTATTAGCACATTAAAAAAAAATGGTTATTTGGTTATCACATGCTAAAGCTGTTTGTATTTTTTTTAAGAGACAGAAGTAAAGCTTACTACTGTACTTGTAAATAACCAAGTAAGTCGTTGAAAAAATGAGAATAGCGGAGGTAGCATTAGTAAAATATAAACAAATTAGGAAATGAGAACTTTAAAATCATGCGTTGAGCTCTTTAAGTTAACAATTTCTGTCATCACCCCCTCCCCTCCCCCATCCACCGAATACTGCTCTCTGCCTCATCGAAGGATTTGACAGTCATCACCCGACAATATTTTTTGTAATTGACGTTGACACCCCTGTCCATCCGGACTAAAATAGGGAGCAGGAATTGTAATGAGTAGTAAATGCGGCTATAGTAATATTTACCACACTATCCTTCAAGTACCAGTACAACTACTACCACCACCGGCACCAGAATAACTAAAATAATGTCACTGCTATCTGTTTTACTGTTGGAGTAGACAGGGAGTCGTGAGCCAGAGGATTTGGCACCACAAGGCTAATGCTGTCGGCATGGAATGGAAAGGTTAGGATGTGTAATTTCGCTCCCCAACAGAAAAATGCCATAACCTTACCGGCGGTCTCTGGCATGACAGCATTACAGTGTAACCGCCCAATCACAACTACTACTACTGCTACTTTGAGTGGGTAAGGCAGTTACTTTGACTTAAAGCTCTTTTAGTTACCGGTTTATGCTACCCTCCACACCCCCTCCTAATTCACCGGCTACTCTTTCCTTCATCGAAGTAGTTTGGATAAAAAAAAACCAAGTGAAATGCAATGAAAACAGAAAAAAAAAACCATAATTACGAAATGAACACTATGATAAACAACACAGCCTAATTCCAACGCAATGTCAGAAGAAATAATTAAATCGAAATGAAAATAAATGGAAATCTATGAGAATTCAGCGTAACCATGCAGTCGGAAAGTTTGAAATGAAATCATAAGCATGCAAAATGGTCAAATTTAATTATCAGCTGGTTTACGCACATACCTGTATTTTATTTTAAATAGTGTTTATGGCCACATGGTTAGTGCTGTTGCCATGACAGAGCAGGTCTGTGTTTTATTTTGCCCCCGGGTAAAAAAAATAGGAAACTGCCATACATGGGTTTACGGCACAATAATAGAAATCGTACATGTCTAACACGGTAAATGTCGCAATAATTGTCTGCGCAGACATAGATCGCCCCCCCCCCCCCCCCTCCCCCCACTTCCCTTTTCTCAAATCCACCGACTACTCTCTAACTCATCAAAGGTTCTTTGAAAAGAAAGAAAATAATGTCTAATATGGTTAACGTCGCAATCAGCGATATAGAGATAGTCTGGTTTGCTGTACGGGTACATGTTAAAAATAGAGCGTCCCGTGCCTACTGCGCATGCACTGTGAAAGTCCATCGCGCATGCGCATTTACTAACATGGCTATAATTAAATGTCACTAAATGGAAATATTAGTTTTGAAGATTTTCTAAACAAATGTCAGACACTATCTCTAACAATGACAGGTAGAATTTCAATCCATGACGGGTAAAATTCCGGTATCAAAACAAACATACCCTGAAAATTTTAGCTCAATCGATTCAGTAGTTTCCGAGTCTATAGCTCATAAAAAAACACACAAACATTGCTTTTTATATATATAGATATATATATAAAATTAATAAACAGACAACATATTGATCGGCACTCATAGAAATAAATAAGAAAACAGAAGGACACACTAGACAACAAAAATCGAAATCTGTAGTTACATGCCGGAAATCGAACCCATCACCTCCAAATGGTGTGCGTGCCTCACTATAGAAACAAGCATACTAAGAACATAGCCATGTATTCCCCCCCCCCCCCCCCCCCCCCCCCCCCCCCCCCCCCCCCCCCCCCCCCAAAAAAAAAAGATGTCCACATTGGCATGTCAGTTGTATAGCTTTAAATCCACAACTATAGAATTAAAATTATGAGACACTGATTCCAGGATATTGGAATCCAACCTCAGCATTTGTTGGCCATTTGTGGTTTAACTTGGCAATTTTACATTCAGTAGTTTCTGCTTTTTTTTAAAACCAAGTGAAGCAAACAGTAGTAATACTGCACACTACCTGGCATGTCATGAGGTGACTAAGGGTAACGTTGGGCTGGGGTTGACTACCTTATTCCATAAAAATAGCAATCACAAAAACCAGCCAACCCTGGAAGCTTGTGCTACATTAGGGGAGAAAGGGCAGAAGCCTGAATGTTGTAAATGCAGACAGCAAAGACAGGGTTATCAAGTCAGTCTGTGGTAGAGGTTTCCACCTCATATGACCTACTTGTCTGCTTTCCCTGGATTTCTACAAGAAGGAGAAGCTTACTGATCACAGTTTTATTGAGGATCTATGAGATAGGGTTTTCTAAAGAACTGTATTTCATTATTGATTGAGTTAAACTTTTTCTGTTTAGCCATAGATCAGCTCTTGCACTGCTGACTCTTCACCAGCTATCCATTCCCAGCATCCTTGGCCCAAGTAACTATCTCTCTGTGCAAGGCTGTTTTGCTCGGCGGCACTGTGACCCATTCCTCGCCATGTGCTTTTTTATCATTAGTACAAACATTTTCTATAGTGACTTCTGCTTGTGTCATCCAAGAACCACCACTTTCAGGCGATGTTTCTTGCTACAAAGAAAGAGGGAATAAAATGACCCGTCTGTAGAGAGAGGTAAATATAGAAAGTGATAGAGTAAAATGAGTAAATATATGGAAAGCAGCAGAAGGATATAGAGAGATGAGTATGCTGTAAGATAAAGTTGAAAATAAGCTAATTAAAAACTATTATTTCAGGAAAAAGATGCCCTGGTTGAAGAATGGCAGCCTGAACCATTGGCTCCTGATGTGCCAGATGATCACCCAATTCTCCTGTCAATGGAAAAGTATTGTATAGAAGGGTGAGTCTGCTTCAGATATTTTAATATTAATATATGGCCTTAGATGATGAATTTTATCAGGGAATTCAAGAACATGTCGCTGTAGGTTATCTTGGTCGGCCCACTTATTTTCTCTCTGTGAATAATTTGTTCATTGATATTTGAAAAAGAATAAAATAATGCACAGTGTCTGCTTTTTTTCATCTAAGTCCATAAGAGAAGCAAATAATGGTAATGCTTTAACCTATCATGCATGCCCTCAAAGGTGTCATGTAAGGCTAGCCATATAATCACATAGAAAACATAATTCCAACCCAGATCAGTGTTTCCTAATGTGGGGGCCCATACCAGCATGTTCTGATTGTAAAAGACTCATGAAGTATGCTGTGAAAAGGGAAAAAAGGCATGCTTTATGCAGAGTGGCAAGCATTGCTTCAAAGGTCCACAGTAGTTAGCATCCTTTGGAGCTTTTTTAACGGGTGATGCAGTTGTTTTGGGAAATGAGCAGGCAGGCAGATCGGCTGTTGTTGCACCACTAGGTGGTTAATAGATGCATGACAAGGTAGATGTAGTTTTTAAGCTCTTTGGGAGTAAGTGAACAGTGTCGAAGAGTAAATAGATCATTATGATAAGGAGATAATCATGCAGTAGGCAGATCTGGTTGACACTGAATTCAGAGAAAGGGCAAGATGGACGTTTAATCAAACTGCTGCTGTTAATATCAGCATTGGGCTTTTTTGCTGGCTGCTGAAGATAAGGGCTTGGCACATATGGCAACATCTCAAGAATGTAATTTCAGTTCTTAATTCAATTTATACAAGTCTGGCTGCAAAATCCAACCTTTCATGAACATCTGCATAGGGTTTGTTAACAGCTTATGTTCATTTGAGATATGAAAGACAGAATAAAGAATTCTGTTAGGCTTCTGACCAGACCGGTAATGCACTGGCATTAGAGATACTGCACTGACCAGGCAAATAATGCCCTGGCCAGACAAATAAGGCCCTGGCCAGACAAATAGTGCACTGGCCAGTAAGATACTACACTGACCAGACAGATAATGCACTGGCCAGTAAGATACTACACTGACCAGACAAATAATGCACTGGCCAGTAAGATACTACACTGACCAGACAGATAATGCACTGGCCAGTAAGATACTACACTGACCAGACAAATAATGCACTGGCCAGTAAGATACTACACTGACCAGACAGATAATGCACTGGCCAGAAAGATACTACACTGACCAGACAGATAATGCACTGGCCAAGTAAGATACTACACTGACCAGACAGATAATACACTGGCCAGAAAGATACTACACTGACCAGACAGATAATGCACTGGCCAAGTAAGATACTACACTGACCAGACAGATAATGCACTGGCCAGAAAGATACTACACTGACCAGACAAATAATGCACTGGCCAAGTAAGATACTACACTGACCAGACAGATAATGCCCTGGCCAGGCAGATACTACATTGACCAGACAGATAATACACTGGCCAGAAAGATACTACACTGACCAGACAGATAATGCACTGGCCATTAAGATACTACACTGACCAGACAGATAATGCACTGGCCAGAAAGATACTACACTGGCCAGACAAATAATGCACTGGCCAGAAAGATACTACACTGACCAGACAGATAATGCACTGGCCATTAAGATACTACACTGACCAGACAGATAATGCACTGACCAGAAAGATACTACACTGACCAGACAGATACTACACTGACCAGACAAATAATGCACTGGCCAGTAAGATACTACACTGACCAGACAGATAATGCACTGGCCAGTAAGATACTACACTGACCAGACAAATAATGCACTGGCCAGTAAGATACTACACTGACCAGACAGATAATGCACTGGCCAGTAAGATACTACACTGACCAGACAGATAATGCACTGGCCAGAAAGATACTACACTGACCAGACAAATAATGCACTGGCCAAGTAAGATACTAAACTGACCAGACAGATAATGCCCTGGCCAGGCAGATACTACACTGACCAGACAGATAATGCACTGGCCAGAAAGATACTACACTGACCAGACAGATAATGCACTGGCCATTAAGATACTACACTGACCAGACAGATAATGCACTGGCCAGAAAGATACTACACTGACCAGACAAATAATGCACTGGCCAGTAAGATACTACACTGACCAGACAGATAATGCACTGGCCATTAAGATACTACACTGACCAGACAGATAATGCACTGACCAGAAAGATACTACACTGACCAGACAGATAATGCACTGACCAGAAAGATACTACACTGACCAGACAGATAATGCCCTGGCCAGAAAGATACTACACTGACCAGACAAATAATGCACTGGCCAGAAAGATACTACACTGGCTAGACAGATAATGCACTGGCCAGACAGATAATGCACTGGCTAGACAGATAATGCACTGGCCAGACAGATAATGCACTGGCTAGACAGATAATGCACTGGCTAGACAGATAATGCACTGACCAGAAAGATACTACACTGGCTAGACAGAAATCGCACTGGCCAGAAAGATACTACACTGGCCAGAAAGATACTACACTGGCCAGACAGATAATGCACTGGTCAGAAAGATACTACACTGGCCAGGCAGATAATGCACTGGCCAGGCAGATAATGCACTGGCCAGGCAGATAATGCACCGGCCATGCAGGCACATGGTGGGGGGTGGGGGGGAGTAATTTTCTTTACTTTAGTTGTATTTTTGAAAACAAAGAACAGATTGTGGAAAAGCCGATTTAGGTTCTGGGGCCCATTTTTGTAATACATTCACTGCCTGTTGTTGTCATGAGAAACGTGACCAGTGAAAGGTTTGCTGAATTCAGATGTGTTGGGCCAAAAAGTGAAGTTATTGCAGCCTTGCTGTAAACATCCTTTTAAGGGTGAGTGCAGAAGCAGAAGAATAATATGGACATATAAATGATTTTGTGAAAATATTCCTTTTCATAGTGTAAAACATCTGTTTACAGACAAAATGGAAAATATATAAAGGTGAATGGGAGGTCCTGCATCAACTTGTCATCTTTCAATTTTCTGTGCATGGTTGGAAAGAAGGAGATTGAGGTATTGCAGTCTGGGTATTTGTCTTCTCATTTTAAAAAGTACCTGGGAACTGGCTTTTTATGTGAAGATCTAGTTAGAAAATGAACTGACATTACTGTAGTGGAATTGTTGATAGATATACTGTTCAGGTCAGTATGGTTAATAGGCAGATTTATTGCTTCCAGTAACGATGAACTGCAAATCTAGGGTTGGACTGTTTGTGTTGGTATTTTTGACGACTGCCTTATACATTTAATGCATGTGTATGCTGTTGACTTTGTTGAGACTGAAGTCTTTGTCACTTTTTTCCTGCAAGGGACCGTAATGGACATTCTGTGTGGTTTTTGTTGGCACAGGAACGCAGCAACTATGGGGTGACCCGTTTTTATTGGCATAGGAACGGAGCAACTATGGGGTGACCCGTTTTTATTGGCATAGGAACGGAGCAACTATGGGGTGACCCGTGTTTGTTGGCACAGGAATGGAGCAACTATTGGATGACCCATGTTTGTTGGCACTGGAATGCAGCAACTATGGGGTGACCTGTTTGCTGTGAAGTTGGAACTGCAATTACCTGATTAACTGTTCAGAACGGCTTAGAACTGCATTTAATGGTGTAAATCTTGTGAGGAATACAGTAATAAGCAGGCTGGCCTCACTATTGAGAAAAGTCAGGCCAAGACAGTAACTACAGGTTTATGTGATTTACTAGGCACAGGCAATCCTTGAAGCCATACTGTCTATAAATAGCCTCATTGTGAACAATAGTATCTGATATACACAGTTTGATAAAACTTTATAAATTGCTGTAAATCACTAATTCAGGCTATTCAAGATTGTAGACATTTAGTCTAATGTAGTCTCTCAAGTCAACAAGTCAATAATTATTGGCAGTCACATCCTCTGCTGCCCTTTTATCGCATGACAGTAATTATTTCTTGAAATAGACTGTGACTCATGCCCAGTCTGCTTTCATGCAGGCCAATAAATTAGTGATAAACCCTGCATTCCTGATTAACATCATTGGTGGATGGAATTGATCCAGACTAGTAAAATGGGCCGAAAGTACTCCATTTGATACTGTATTCTCCTAGGCAAGTGAAACTGTAGAGCAGAATTATAACACGGCAGTTGGTCTCATGATCCTGTCTGCTTCCAACCATTCATCACCTTCCCTCTCGGGCTCAGTCTTCTCCCATCCATGAAAAGTGAGTCGTCTATCATTTTACTGCCTATATTCACCACTTTTGTGGTGTAGGCAGCAGATATTTGAGCCTGAGGATTGTGACAAGAAATCAAACCTGCATCCCATTGCTGTGATGGGTGTATCCTATAGTCATTCAAACATCACCCTCATGCATTCATTATGAATGAGCTGTAGCAATTTCAGTTAGTTTCTAAACATTATTTAGTGACAGACAGTACCCAATATGGAAGATATGGAATACATTTATATAGTAAATATTTTTTATTTTGTCAGCATGTAGCAGATTCTTTGCAGAATATCATTGCTTTATGACTAGCCAGAAAGTCACTGTTCCTTGCCAATTTTCCTGCCTTCCCTGCTTTTATACCCAGTATGTGTACAATGTCCTGTAGCCACCTATTTCTCTGCCTCTAACATTTTCTTACCCATGATGTCTAAAGTGTGCTCACCTATTTCTCTGCCTCCCACATTTTCAAATCCTAAATTTATGTCTTTAGTGTGCTCACCTATTTCTCTGCCTCCCACATTTTCATATCCTGAATGTATGTCTTTAGTGTGCTCACCTATTTCTCTGCCTCCCACATTTTCATATCCTGAATGTATGTCTTTAGTGTGCTCACCTATTTCTCTGCCTCCTATATTTTCATACCCCGCATTGATGTCTTTAGTGTGCTCACCTATTTCTCTGCCTCCCACATTTTCATACCCTGGATTGATGTTTTTAGTGTGCTCACCTATTTCTCTGCCTCCTATATTTTCATACCTGGATTTATGTCTTTAGTGTTCTCACCTATTTCTCTGCCTCCATTATTTTCTTACCCCTGATGTCTTTAGTGTGCTGACCTATTTTTCTGCCTTCTCTATTTTCTTACCCAGGATTGATATCTGTAGTGTACTCTGCACATCTGTTTCTATATCTTATCCGCTTTCATACCAAGGGTATCTTGAGTGTCATGTGACCACCTATTTCTTGGTCTAACCACACCTTTCATCACTGCTATCTCGAAATTACTGCAACGTCCAACATTGCCAAATTATTTATTTCCAAGACATGATCTTATCCATAAGCCATTTTATTTAGGCCTAGTGTATTATACACATTGTTACATTTATGTGATAATATACTAGAAGAAATCAAAGCTGTAGTAATTGTTGTAAATGATGAACCTCAGTTTAAAAAACACAAATCTGGACTTTTCAGGAAGAAGCTATCAAAGCATTAAGAGTATATGGTGTTGGGTCTTGCGGACCAAGGGGTTTTTATGGAACAATGGGTAAGCCTTGACATTTGCTGCTGTTTGTATACTTGTTCTCTTAGGCTCCATCTTCCATTAAAGTTAAAATTAGTGCAGTGGTAGATGCTTCGACGTGAAGTGCTACGCCAGCATGTAATATATATTTTTGAAACAAATATTTTTTTTTTGGCTGTATCGACCACGCTGACTGTGGCGCTAAATTGTTGATTTTCTATTGCATAAGTCTGCGTGTGTGTGTTTTTTTAAATGCTGGCTTAAGTTGTGATACACTGATCGGCTTTGGCAGAGAAACAAGTATGAGGGCTGCAAAGGTTAAAAAGAGGAGACAGTTGAAAGTGATAATACAATACAAGAGAAAGAAGAGCTGTAAAAGATCCAAAAAAGTAAAGATGAATGGATTAACTTTTTAATGTTAATTAGAGAAACTATATTACATATTTAGGCAGTGTAGTAAAATACACTCCATCTGGAAAATGAAATGGTTCTCAAGTCTTGCGGTGAATATCTTGCATATGTTCTCATTACAATTGACTGTAAATTTGAAACTTTTATAATTTACCTGAAATTGCTCTGCAAAGATTTGAGATCATTACCTGTATAAGACATAATGAATTTGTTAATTGTTAGCTAAAAAAAATTTGATTGTGATAAGTTTTCTTCTTCTTCTTCTTCTTCTTCTTCTTCGCGTTCACCAGCTGTAAACTCTGGCGGAAGGTTCTGGTTGCTCGTCCACTACTGAACTGCAGTCCTGCTCCAGAACCTGAGTGTTGCGTGTGCATCAGTTTTACAGATCTCATTCTCTTGAATACAGACTGTTGGTTCCTTGCCTCTCCGGCAGATGCACTCCGACTTCAAAGGAAGCTCCCCAGTTAGTCGACTCTTACGACATGCTTTTGGGGAGGCAGTGGGTCTATTCTTGTTTTCCCCACAATGGGGCCCCGGAACCCACAAGGGGGTGATAAGTTTTAGATTTCATCACTTACATGATCGGTGTCACTAATGAATATGTATTGTTTATTACTTACATTTTTTTTAAAAATAGTAAAAGACTATGTTTTCACAAACAGACGTGCACTTGAAGCTAGAAGAAGAGCTGGCAAAGTTCATGCATTGCGAGGAAGCTATTTTGTATTCTTATGGATTTGCAACCATTGCAAGTGCAATTCCAGCATATTCTAAGAGAGGGGATATCATTTTTGCGTAAGTTCTTCCTTTTTTCATCCCTTATTCCTCTTCCTGCCCTGTATGCTTCTTTATTTTTGTGCCCTTTGTCTGATTTCTTGTACATCAGGTTAACCTGTTCGTCTCCCTCTGTCTCTGTGTGAATTGCTACTTACTCTAAAATTCTATGTCTTCAGCTGCTGAGGGTTTCTGAGTTTGCTACAGATACATTATAGCAATCTAGCAAAAATAATTAGATCTACTGTCTACAGTGTAATGTGTTCTTATAGTTGATGTTGTGCATTGCGAGGAAGCTATTTTGTATTCTTATGTATTTGCAACCATTGCAAGTGCAATTCCAGCATATTCTAAGAGAGGGGATATCATTTTTGCGTAAGTTCTTCCTTTTTTCATCCCTTATTCCTCTTCCTGCCCTGTATGCTTCTTTATTTTTGTGCCCTTTGTCTGATTTCTTGTACATCAGGTTAACCTTTTCGTCTCCCTCTGTCTCTGTATGAATTGCTACTTACTCTAAAATTCTATGTCTTTAGCTGCTGAGGGTTTCTGAGTTTGCTACAGATACATTATAGCAATCTAGCAAAAATAATTAGATCTACTGTCTACAGTGTAATGTGTTCTTATAGTTGATGTTGTGTGATGTCGGTGGTCATTTCTGTACACAGTCATGTCTTGCGTTCTGTCACCCATTTTTGATTAAGATTTTATTTTGTGCTGTGTTGCCAAACTGTTCAGTATCTTCTCTCTTGGCTTCTCTGCACATTTTTCCCCATTTACCCTTCCAATTTTCATGATATATCATAGACATATGCGAAAATATTTAATGGAGGGATTGAGTATTCTTGCTTCATAATTAACAGTAAGTGCAATGTACTTTTTTGGTTGTGAAGGAATTTGTGCAAAAGATGTGTTTGTTTCAGAAGGCTTGCAGTTGTTTAAAACTAAACGTAGGGAATGAAAAACAATGTTAAGGGCAGAAGTATACTTCAATTCATACAATTATATTCTTTAGAAACTATTAACATAATGTATGGGAAGCTGCACATATGTACGCGAGAGTTTGGGGGGGGGGGGGAGTATTATTCCCCCCTCTTCTGTTTCATCAGTCGGTCGCTCAGATGCTGTCTCCACACTGAATGTTGGCAGCAATGGATTTCCACTTGTGTGCCCTGTCTCTTGTCCTGGTTGTACGCTCTGTTGTCTGTCACTTGATGTTATCCTCTCACTTGAATCACTCTTGCATGGTCGCCTTACCTTTTTCTCTCCACTAGGATTTTTGTAAGAGTGTTATGCATTTTAAGGGGACCAAATGTTTGATTTGCCTCTTCTTTATTTCTTTCAGCAACCTTCTTTTTATTCCTAATCTCTCTCTAACCTCTGTATTTGATTGTTTTTTGTGTCCATGAAACACGCCCTACTTTTCTGTTTGGTCACAGCTGGATATGTTTATAATATAAATATTGTTTCTTCCTGTGTCCTGCTCCACAGAGATGAGAATGTGTGCTTCGCTGTTCAGAAAGGGTTGGTGGCATCAAGAAGCCATATCAAATGGTTTAGACATAATGATATGGACCACTTGGAATCATTGCTGATTGAGCAGAGCAAAGCTGATGAAAAGGTAAGTAGTTTAGACGTATATTTTGTAAAAAATATTGTTGCTGACATTTGGGAATATCAGTGACAGTTCTGATATGGCAGATAAGACAATATCCAGAAACATAGTCAAGCCATACTTAAAATATACACAAAGAATGGCCTGCTTGCCCACAAATTCACTGAGATAAGCAAAAAGACGTCATTTAGGCGGAGCTGGATGATACACAGTTAATTGCATTGTAATTATGTTTTATTCCTGACTTGTGCACATTTTACGGTGGTTAAATGTATCTCATGGCTGTTACAAACTGAAATGAGAGACTGCTGCACATGTTAAATTTTAGATTTATAAAAAGCATACAAATAAAGTGTTTATAGCATGTGTGGTTTTGAATGGTACATATTTGGATCATTGCTGGTGCTAAAGTGTTTATTCTCTGTGTTGAGATCCTCCTAGTGTAAATAATGAAAGAGAGCAGGAGCACTTATGGAGGCATCTATGTGTGCATTGAGGAAGATCTTTTGTAGATGAAACCAGTTCTTGGCAAAACCACTATATGCCATGACCAGGTGGAGAAAAGAAAACATAATTCTGTTAGTATGTTACTCTTAACTCTTTGAGTAACAAAATTAAATTCACCATATGTTCCTGAATTATTCCATACCTAATATGATATATGGGCTGTCTTCTGTCTCAGAAGAATGCTACATTAATCCTTAGTTTCTGGATTATTATTCTATCAGCTTCTATCTCATGATGTCTGTTTTGAATTCCTTTGGGCCTAAATATTTATTGTTGTTAAGCTCAGCACTTTGCGACAGAAAGAATTAAAGGAACGACTGCCTGGGACTAAAAGAGTGAAATAACAGACACACTAAATATACATACATATCTGCAATAGTTTTATTTTAGTATTACTTAATTTGTTTATGTGGTGTTTTTTTCTTTTCTTGACAGAATCCAAAGAAAGCCAAAGTCACAAGACGTTTCATTGTGGTGGAAGGGCTGTACGTCAATACTGGCTCCATCTGCCCTCTGCCTAAGTTGGTATGGAATGTGTCACTTATGTTTCTCACTAGGAGTCAGCATTGGCACTTTGTTCTATCACTTCCTCTTTTATTGCTAAGATTGTTGAGGGAGACACAAGGTTATGGCTCTCACTAGGAGTCAGCATTGGCACTTTGTTCCTTCACTTCCTCTTTTATTGCTAAGATTGTTGAGGGAGAGACAAGGTTATGGCTCTCACTAGGAGTCGGCATTGACACTTTGTTCCATCACTTCCTCTTTCATTGCTGAGTTTTGTTGAGGGAGACACAGGTTATGGCTCTCACTAGGAGTCAGCATTGGCACTTTGTTCCATCACTTCCTCTTTTATTGCTAAGATTGTTGAGGGAGAGACAAGGTTATGGCTCTCACTAGGAGTCGGCATTGACACTTTGTTCAATCACTTCCTCTTTCATTGCTGAGTTTGTTGAGGGAGACACAAGGTTATGGCTCTCACTAGGAGTCAGCATTGGCACTTTGTTCCATCACTTCCTCTTTTATTGCTAAGATTGTTGAGGGAGAGACAAGGTTATGGCTCTCACTAGGAGTCGGCATTGACACTTTGTTCAATCACTTCCTCTTTCATTGCTGAGTTTGTTGAGGGAGACACAAGGTTATGGCTCTCACTAGGAGTCAGCATTGGCACTTTGTTCCATCACTTCCTCTTTTATTGCTAAGATTGTTGAGGGAGAGACAAGGTTATGGCTCTCACTAGGAGTCGGCATTGACACTTTGTTCCATCACTTCCTCTTTCATTGCTGAGTTTGTTGAGGGAGACACAAGGTTATGGCTCTCACTAGGAGTCAGCATTGACACTTTGTTCCATCACTTCCTCTTTCATTGCTGAGTTTGTTGAGGGAGACACAAGGTTATGGCTCTCACTAGGAGTCAGCATTGGCACTTTGTTCCATCACTTCCTCTTTCATAGCTGAGTTTGTTGAGGGAGACACATGGTTATGGCTCTCACTAGGAGTCGGCATTGACACTTTGTTCAAGGGAGACACATGGTTATGGATATGGTTCTGTCTTTTCTGGCCACATTGACCATATACTTGATTCTTCTGTTGAGTTTCTTTGTTGTCCTTCCTTATTCTTGACTACCCCAATCACTTTTTCCCTCTCCTCTTAGGGTATATGCCACATAAGTATGACATTCTAAGTGGCCAAAGCATTATGTTTGCTATCTTTGTATGTAGTTCAGTATTGATTCTATGCCAGCTTTTTTTTTCCACATGACCTCATTCATGATTATCTCTTCTGCAGTATTTTGTTCTTATATAAATCACTATTACTGTATGCATGTCCAAGCAGATCTGGATCAATGCCTGATGTGTGTTCCTCAAAGAAACATCTAAAACAAGGATAGACACAAATCTGTGCAACCAGTGCTCTTTCAAGTTATGTAGAACATTTAGCAATAAACCACAGCAATAAAGTGGCGTGATTCATCTGACCACAATTTCACAACTTCACTTAGCAAGTGTACCTACTGTTATACTGATGGAACTAAGGGCGAGGTGCTGTGTTCACTTTTTACTATCAAAAACAATGTATTTGATGTGTTGAGAGCCATTGTGTAAAGTTTATCTTGCCCAACAGTCACCTAGCAAGTTTTTGCTTCTCTCACACAGGTGGAACTAAAGTGGAAGAAGAAAGTTAATTTTGTTTGTTTCTCTCACACAGGTGGATCTAAAGTGGAAGGAGAAAGTTAATTTTGTTTGTTTCTCTCACACAGGTGGAACTAAAGTGGAAGTACAAAGTTCGTATTTTCCTTGAGGAGACCATGTCGTTTGGAGTGTTGGGAGCCACTGGCAGGGGTGTCACAGAACATTTTGGTATCTCACCTGACCAGATTGACCTAATATCTGCTTCCCTGGAGAATGCTATAGCTTCTGTGGGGGGATTCTGTACGGGAAAGAAGTTTATCATTGATCATCAGGTAAGTTCTTGAATTTCATATATGTGTGTTATGTATGTGTGTGTTATATGAATTCACTAAACACAAGCTAGGAGAGGGAAAAAGATTTTGAAAATTTGTGTGTGATATATGTTAAGTCACTTGTCAGCAAGTAAGGGGCCAGTTTATAAGTCATTGATTGGTGCTTGTATGTGGAGTACAGTTTGTGTTCACTGGTTAATAATCAGGCGTACCTGAGGGTATAAGAGGATCGACTAAGTAAGCTGTTAATCAGTGTGCATGCAAGGTGTATTCTCTACTCATTAACTTATGTTCACGAGGTCAGTTTTCCAATCACTAGTATGTACACAGGGTGTGTTTTCCAATCATGAGTGGGTACACCGGCAGTGTTTTCCAAAACTAACTAGTGTGTATATGGTATGTTTAATAGGCATGTGTGAGTTTAACTCCTTAAGTTTATAATATTCAGACCTTAAAAATATATGTGCAGCCAACAAACAAACAGTAGACATTTTGTTTGTAAGCAATGAAGTAATGTATACAGCAGGATGAAATGGAATGTTTATTATTTGCTGTCCAGTAATAGTGATGGTCTTCTTATTACTAGCCAAAGCTGTTGAAAATGAGTGCAAACTCTTGTTTGTTGAGTTAATTGTTGAAGATGATAAATATATTGTTACTGCAATAAATAAAGATTAACTAAAACAGATTATTTAGCATGATCTAGTTGTTGATAACCTGTGTTAAAATTGATTCTCATTTATGTTATTATGTTCTGCTGGTGTATTTTGTAAACTTCTTGCAGAGACTTTCAGGGCTGGGGTACTGCTTCTCTGCCTCACAGCCACCAATGCTGGCGTCAGCAGCAATCCAGGCCCTGCATTTACTTCAGCAAAAACCCTGTAAGTTTCCTTAGATGGCAGTCATGTTGTGTAGCTATTGTAATTGGTTGAATGTATTCAGACTAATCTGAATGACTCCAAATTAATGATATCAAGGAAAGATATAAAACCAAAAGAAAATTAGATCAGCAAGCTACAAAATGTAATGAACACAAATGAAAAGTGAACGTTGTGGCAGTAGAGCCTTCATGAGCACATAATAAAAAAACACATAAAAACACATGAATACACAAAATCCCTTAACTGATATATCCTGAAGCAGCCCCATTGATGTCTTGCCAGTGGAATGAAGAGACACATGTGGCCTAGGAATAAATAGCCTGGAAATGGCAAGGGCAGTAACGAGAATGTTAGATAAAGCTGTGTTGACAGTTCAGTTTCCTAGGTGTTTAGGTCCCCAAAGTGAAAGTAAAACGATTCTCAAGACACTTGCAAATTCTGTTGCTGGTGTGGCTAGATTTAATAGCTGTCAACTCTGTGTTGCTGAAGTGGCTAGATTTAATGGTTGTCACCTCCTTGCCGTAGACACCTAGGTGATCTTGAGAATTGAAGGGCAACGTTACTGGTTTTAGTTCACCGTTCTACACATCACAAAGGCGTTTCTGAACCTACCAGCTAGTCGTAGACTAGTTTCACTGGTGTATTACATGCCACATATCTTGCATTTGATGGCATAAATGACATTACGGCTCATGCAGTAGTATGTCTCATATATGGAAGGTGGCATTCGGGAATTCCAGACTTTTACCCCGAACCACATATGGGTAAGTCTTGCATACAGATCTGTGGCAGGAGAAGTGGGAATCAGATGCAGGGTGGAACCAACTCTTGACTAGAATGTCCTTGAGGTTATGGTCATATTTATAGGCCACTAGAGGAAGTTCAGAGAAAATCATGCTGTGGCAGGGTCAGCCCTAAGGAGGGAGAGATGCCTGAGGAGAACTTCTTTGGCACGGATATTCTGAGGGTGGGCAATATTGTAACTAGATTGTTTTTTCACTGATGACTTTTCACCGGAACCCACGGGCTTAAAGAAATTTATAAAGACAAAGTAAAGGAAAGTAATTTGTGACTGAGGTTAATAAGATGAGAAAGATGTATACTGAGCCAAATGGGTATTTTATCTCCTACTGCAGGATAGGTCCTTAACCAGCCCACATCAAACCCTCTGTGGACTTGTTCATGATTGGATTTCAGCTTGTCTCCCATATGAAGTAGTTCTTTGAGAGCCCTTTTCTCAAGTGTTCCTTCTTGGAAACACACAGCAGTAAAGCAAATTAAAGGCATTCATTCCAGTGAGATTGTCAAAAATAACATTAGGTCTAATGTTCTGCAGAAAATGAAGTTTATTGTGAATTTCAGGTCTGCTGGTGGATTTACGGGAAAACTGTGAGAAACTTCATGAGAAGCTGGAAAAGTAAGTGGTCATATTTAAGATGTTTTTATTTGTATATATATATATTGAGGATGACTTTGTAGGTAAAGTTTATAAACTGTTGTCTTTGTCATCCAAGTGTAAACAGTGTTTGTTTTAATTCTTTGATGGTTGCCGTGACGTGAAGAGAATATTAAGACATGTGCATGGTAGTTAATAATATTGACTGTTTTTTTCTAAAGTTGGTATTATTGTTCTCGACCTACTCTTCTGATGCTTTTGTATATTATCACATAAATACGACTAGATGGAGAGAATGTGTGAGTGAGATAGTTGGACCTGAGGCCACCTATCAACAAAACTGCTGTAGGAAAGATACGACAGTAAATGAAATGGAAACATTTGTCTGAATTTATATTTTTCATGGAATTTTTTATAAGCCAGAACACAAACAGTATTTTTTTGTTTATCCAAAGTAGCTCAATTAATACTCCTCTCCTTTCTTCAGAAGTGATGGAGTTTGGTTTGAGCCTGCTCTCTTTATCTAAAAGCCAAATTGAGAAGCTGGAACGCATGCACAATTGAGCCGTGCGTGTCATTTTGGAATTTACACAGGACAGAGGATCTGGAGGACCTTCAGAACAGAGAGAAAAAAACATAGGTGAACTTTGAGTCAGGTTGCAACTGGTACACTTTGCATATCGACTCTTTTGTTGGCTACTGGAGACGGAGAACGTGTGGGAATGTCCTGAGTTTAGGAATGTCAATTGTTGATTGATTAATGCATTCATTCATTCTTCAGAAAGAAAAGAAACAGAAAAGAGATTTAATCTATTTTGAAAAATTTCTTCGTTGCACTGTCACTATAAAAACAAACAAACTGTGATTCCTTTTAGTATTGTTGAGGACCTAAAGTATTATAATGTTTACATCTCAATAGAAGCATCAGTCTTCATAAAAACGTTGTGTTTGGGAACACTGAAACTTTGTGGTTCTCACAGTATTTCAGGTGTTCGTGTCTTGGGTGACCGTATCTCTCCAATCAAACACATACAACTGACAGAGCCATCAGATGACCGGGACTTGGATGTGCGAACATTAGAAATGGTTGTTGATTGTGTAAGTCAAAGGTTACATTATATGTGAGTTCTGATCTAGTATTGGTTGATGATCGTGTACGTCAAAGGTTACATTATATGTGAGTTCTGATCTAGTATTGGTTGTTGATCATTTAAGTCAAACATTATATTATGCGGGAGTTCTGTTCTAACTATAGTTGTTGATCATGTAAGTGAAATATTACATTATCTGTGAGTTCTGTAGTAGTAGTGGTTGTTGATGTTGTATGTGAAATATTACATTATATGTGAGTTCTTTAGTAGTCGTGGTTGTTAATCATGTAATTGAAACATTACATTATATGTGAGTTCTTTAGTATTCGTGGTTGTTAATCATGTAATTGAAATATTACATTATATGTGAGTGCTTTAGTAGTCGTTGTTAATCATGTAATTGAAATATTACATTATATGTGAGTTCTGTAATAGTAGTGGTTGTTAATCATCTGAATGAAACTTTACATTACATGTGAGTTCTGTAGTAATAGTGGTTGTTGATCATATAAGTAAAATGTTATTATATGTGAGTTCTGTAGTAGCAGTAGTTGTTGTTGACCATGTAAGTGAAACATTACATTATATGTGAGGTCTGTAGTAGTAGTGGTTGTTGATCATGTAAGTGAAACATTACATTACATGTGAGTTCTGTAGTAGCGTAGCCACATGTCTTCTCTTCCCCTGTTTATACCTGTTACATTTCAAGATGTGTAAAACTGTCCTCTGATTTCTGTTTGTTTCTTGTCTTTTGTAAGTGCAAATCAATACCTATTTCACACTGTATGAAATATGATTGATTATAATCCTCTGTTTTCTTAGGCCATGAATGATGGTGTTGCCTTAATCATTGCACGTTATCTGGATACAGAGGAACATAACCTGATGCCTCCCAGGTACATTGTTTCTTCATTTTTGCGATCACCAGCTGTAAACTTCGGCGGAAAGTTCTGGATGCTTGTTTACCTCCAGAACCTGAGTGTTGTGTTCACAACTGATTTACAGATGTGGCTTATTTATATGCCGATTGTTAGTTCCTTGCCTCTCAGACAGATGCATTCTGACTTAGAAGGAAGCCCCCAGTTAGTCAACCCCTACAACATAATTGTTGGGGAGGCAGTTGGTCTATTTTTGTTTTTCCTCCAAAGGGGCTCCGGAATGCACACAGGAAAAGTACATTGTTTGAAAACGGGCATATGTTGGGTGCATGCAAGCTCACGTTTCTTTGTTTTGTTGTGAGTTTATTCTGTGCTTGCTTTGTTAAGGTTTGCTTCAGATGAAAAGAGGTTGGTTTTGTTTAATTTAGATTCATTGGATGTTCCATTATTGTAAAACTTGTTTGGGTTGTTTCTGCATAATATTATATAAAAAAAAAAAAAACAACCTGTTGTTACAGCTTTTGTACCATTGCTAGTGTTGTCAAAATGATATTAGGTCTGTGGATTAAAGGTTTTTTAACCTTAGGTAATGGAAAAGAGTAGGGTTCATATACTTGTGCCCAGAGCTGAATGTGAAATTAATTGACCAGCCCTTAAAGAAAATATTGGTTGCCTGTATGGTACAGAAATACAAACATATTAGTATCATTGTCACTACATCAAGCTTCTCCATGTGTAACAGTTCAGAGAAAACTGAAGCATTTATTGAGGTATCCAAGTGTTAGTCAACAGACCATCTTCACTGTCGAACCATTCAGTTCTTAAGTGCTAGGATGCTCTCCTCAGCATAGCTGTCAGTACGTGGCAAAATCTGGCAGCACTTTTATGTTGGTTAACTTTTTTTTCTTTCAAATTTGCACCTTCAAAGCTTTACGCTTTTGACTAGCTGAGCCTTGCAGACTGGTCAGGGTTGCCAGTGTAGTTTTCTTCTTTCCTTCGTCCTAATGCTTATGCTGTGAAGATCACAGAGAAGAGTTAGATGTCTTTTGCTAGTTGAATAGCTTGTGTTTATGTCATATTGTGTTTGTGTATTGTCTCTTTTACTCCTGTGTATTATCTCTTTTAATCCTTCCACCCCTTTCCTTCTTGGTCGACTTCTTGACTCATGGCCTGCTTTGTTGTTTTCATGATGTATGCTGTAGCAGCATGCTGATTTTTGTCCATTCTAGCCAGGTGCCGAAACCATTTAATTCTTTCATTTCCTATAAAATCGTGCACATTAATTGCCCAAGACCTCCCCCCCCCCCTTTTTTTTTCCCCCACCACCCATGCATTCATTATGTGAGTCCAGTCTGCTACTTGGTTGCTTTCCACAATTTTTTTTAAAGACATTACCAAAATTAAATTGTGTGGAAGGATTAATCCTTATTATATTGTTATTTTTCACTAAAAGACTTAAAAGACTAATAGAATTGCATATATTTTGTTCTGTGGAACAATTGGATGAATTTAGATGTTATGATGTCAACTGAAACTATTGACTGTTGCAGCCTTCGGTTGACTGTCAACTGTGAACTGACAGACTCAGAGATCAGCAGGGTTGTAGCAGTGATTTCAGATTCCTTTCAGCAGGTGCAGGAGAAACTGACAACCAGGTACACTTCTATTTTGTTTTTGAGTGTGAGAATGACAGTCAGCTGTGTGGAGTATGGAGGGCTAGTGTATATTATCACAGGGAGAGAGAGCGAAAGAAAGTACTGATTTGATGTTATACATTTGTTAGTTGGCACCTTTTGAGGCAGTAGTCTAATGGTGAGCTGTAGTATGGCATGGGAAGCAGAGCACATTCTTTCACAGCACAAAGCCTGGGCAGTATTGTAGAGGCCTTGTGTTGCCCTTGCAGCATGATCCCTCTCTCAGCCTGCCTTGTTTGACTCCCAGACATCATGTAAATGTAGAACAATTATTGTGAACAAGATGTAACTTTAAATGGTTTTTTTAATAACCCTGAGTGGTTTTGAGGTTCATGTTTCAGGTTGCTTGCACCCAGTTAGGGAGTCACAGTGGCATAGATATTTGATGGTAGTTCAGTGTATTGATTCGTTGATGTTTAGTGGTAGTTCACTGAATTGATTCACTGATACCAGTTAACTGGATTGTTTTATTTCATCATATTTGGCCATAAACTACTACATAATTTTGCAGTAATAGACTAGTCCATTGCATTAAGTGATTTCTTGGTATACTGTATGTAGTGTGTTCTGCTTTGCGTGGGTTGATACAGTTGAAGCATTGTATTATGTTTATCTAAGTCTAGGTTTTGCATGTGTAGTTGTAGTATTGTGTATTATACTTATAGTCAAGCTGATGTTGCTGACAGTGTATGCCATGTGTTCCTTAGGTCTTCTGACTTGACCAGCCCCTTGGATGCAGTGGAGCAGCGAGATGTGGGACAGAGAGCATCTAGATAATATACATTTGACAGAGTTTTACATCAGTGATTCACTACCAGAGATATCTTTATCATTATTTTTTGCATCATTATATGTTGGGACATAATTTTTCTTGAGTTCCCCTGCCCGCAAATGCACGCACACACACTCACGCACTTACCCGCGTTTTCTTTGAGCATTAAAGAGCAATACAAATTATAGACTCCTTCATTTATTTCTTAATTAAGGTCATTTGGCTCTTCTAGTGGGAGACCCAGGTTTGAATCCTTGGTAAGGTTATGGATTTTTCTGGTGAGAGCAAACTAAAATCCTAATCTGCACAGTCTGTGGCAACAGCAGTAGCCATGTAGTTCCTCAGAGTCCCCACTTCCTGCCTGCAGAAGTGTTAAATACAGGCAGTAATGGCAGTTTGTTTTCCCTCAGTCAGATCTGTCAGAGTGCCAAATAGATTTTTTTTTTTAATTGATCTAGAAACCATGAGTTGCGAATGTAAACCCTTTGGCTAGGTACTATGGATATCTCAACCCTTCGACGTTGATTCCATGATAGATACTGTAAATCTAGGAAATATGTGACTTTTCTGCCTATCCCCGAGCGCGAACTTGGACTACAGAGTTTGTCACGGCAGGCTATTTTAACTAACTGAGCTAGCGCGCCGGGCACCAAATACATAAAATACACAATCACATTTTGGTTTCCTTTTTTTTTACCTTAATAGCAGCTTTGACTCTTTCAGGATAAGAAGATCTAATACGCTGTGAAGTAGCACTAGGTGTTTTTTTTTTCCAGGCATTAAAATGACTTTTAATACATATCATAAACACACACACACATACACACAGACTTTACATGAAAAATATTGCTAATTGTAAAATATAATGTTACACAGGAATGTGTGTACATACAAGATGCACCAAGTAAGTCAAGTTACTAAGTTACAGCATTTTGTTGTTGTTGGGGACACATGTGTGCCGTGGTCAAGAAAAGCCTAAGCAATCAAACCCAATGTTTTTTTGTTTTTTTTATAATCATGAATAAAAGCACAGAAAGAGATTGAATGCCTGTAGACAGCTGAAAACATCATGTTCCTTTATTCTCAGCTGGAAGAATGCACCACAGATGGCTTGATCAGATGATACCTATAGTCTGTGGTATTATTGCTAACACATGAAGGGTATGTTAGCTGGCATGGCAGAATTAGTTAGCAGTTGGGAGAAAGTATGCACAAGAATTTCTTTGCTATAGGCATACAGATATCCACTGTTTGTTGAGGATGGTGGATACCATTTGTGAAGTGGTTGTTAGTTTGAGCATTTGTTCATCACTGTCATGATTTATGTCTTTGTCAGTATAGAATCGTTGCTTTTCTTAAGGTGACAGATCAGAACTGTAGTTTAGGTGTGTCAGAGGTTCCCATCTGTTGTGTTATAATGCTTCTTGCACGTTTGCAACTAGAGATGAACATTGTCATGCAGCGGAATCACACTGCCTGAAATCATGTCAGCTCACTTGTTCTTGATGGCTTTACACAGTTTGCCTGGTGTGTTCTTGTGGCAAATGGCATTGATGTTGAAGCCATCCACTTACAAGTCTGCCAACAGAAGCCTGTCATGGTTACAGTCAGCATAAACTTCACAACTGATGGTATTCTAACTAGTGTGGCACATGTTGGCATGCACTCATGATGACTCCTGGTGCATGCTTCCGTCCCAACAGTTGCTGTGTTTAATTCTGCCACACCTTTGAAGTGTCTTTAACAATGCATACAATAAGTGGGTTTATTCAATCACGCCTTCTAAATGCTAGCTTGCAATTATTTTATAACTTTATTTATTTTGTAAAATGTGTTGTCATGCAGTTTGTAAGCATGTCTATGGTAAAACTGATTATTTGAAATATTTTAAACATATGTTATGCCCAGCAAAATGCAAACATTGATCTGTTTAATCTGATTCATGATGACATAGTCATGACATACTGTCTGCATATAAAATATTTTAAAACCTGTATTTTTTTCTGTATTTCTTGAGGGTCTCCATGGTTGAGGTAGGTAAGGCTATTGCCTTGCACTCTAAGTGTTGTAGGATCAGTTTTGATCTACATCCTTTACTTCGCTAATGCAGGGGTTTTGAAGATTCCTAGGGGTTGCTGCTGAAACTGTGGAGTTTGTGCTCTGGGCAGCTGAAGAGCCACTGTTAAGAAAGACTGAGCCATATAAAATAAAACCTAGTGCAATGAAGTCGATTTTCTTGACTTTAAACACACATTATCTGTATCTCGTGTTGTTTCTAGTTTGTCAGAAGCTCTTCAGTTGCTTATAAATCTTAAGCTGGTTAAGTTGCTGTCTACCTACTGTTTAAGTTTTATTTTTGTGTCCTAGAAATTCGACAACTGCTGGAGTTATGCTCAAGAAGTGATTTTTTTTTTTTCCCCTCTGTGGCTTTTATTTAATTTAGTTGTACCAGCTTTATGTTTGTTTTTCTGTGCTAATGAAGGCTGTCTAGCTGCAGTATCCATTCTGTCACTTGTGATTGTGTTCTTTTTTGGCTGACCAATTCTGTTTTACATTTGATTAAATTGGACTCATTGGGTATTTACTTGTGTTACAGAGTGTATGTGCTGTTTTGGAAGCTTTTTAAAATTTTTTTTAAAACATGGCCTATGGACCGAGTCTGGAGCACTTGGGGAAGTATCAGAGTGTATTGAAGGTGGTCCTTGAGTAACCCAACCAGATCAGTTAAAGTCAGTGCTTGAGGTTGAGCCAAGACCACTACGCTGGTAAGCTGCCATGCCAACTGCTGTGACCATAAAGCCAGTGACAATTACAAATGGAAGGAGTATATGGAAACGACAAAATGTGAGAAGTGATTTGGTGTCTTGTGGATTTTACATGACACTTTAATGATGTAGCAGCCACATTCTGCAGAGATGGTGATGGAACTGTGAATACTAATTTGTTCAAATTGGTTGAATTAGAAACTGAATGCGGTAGGATTAGTGATAAAAGAAGGCAGCAGAAAGGAGGTATAAGTGGAGAACAAAGAGTGCAGTTATTCTAAGAAAGGGTTTGCTACATTAACAAGAATATGATAATTATCTGTAGATGATGTATAAGAGGCATGGGTTGAGTCGGTAGTACAGTGGCTAGACACTTGTCTGTCCGCCTAAATGGCTTGCATTAGAATGTGCAATGAGAATTATTTTGTTATAATAAATGTTGGCGCGCCCCCCCCCCCCCTTTTCAACTTGAGTCAGACTAAAATTGGTGGGTACCGGAAAATGTAAGGATGTAAAGATGGGTGACATGATGTTGACATCATCACCTACTGAGTGCTGACTAGTCTGTATAAATATGAATTAAGCACCATATGCCCATACATGTCACTGATGTGAAAGGGTCATTTACATACAGACTATGGCAGGTTAAAAACTAAGCTGTCAAGACATTCCCATAAGCACGCCATCTCACTCCTCAGCAGCCAGAAGAGTTCCAGTACTAAATTTGCCACTTGCACTTGGCTTATGTGTTCATCTTACCTTCCTCAGAGCATTGAGTGTCGGCCAGATCCAAAGGTTATTTGCATCAGACCTTCTAGACTAGTGATCTGTGCATTCATTGTTCATGTGCTTGTAAAGGACCTTTCACCACATCAGGTTAACACAAATCTAAGTACCATTGAAACCACTGATACATGTAATTTTGAACTGAGTTCCCTAATACTTTCATTTGCTGAGAAATTGTATGCATTTGATTATGTAGCAAGAATTATTTGTGGTCAATAATTTATGTAGCAAGAATTATTTGTGGTCAATAATTTATCATTTTCTAATTTTTGTAATAAACATTTAATATTTTGGTGTTTGTCTGCATGTTGAAGAATTGAGTTGGTGGTTCCTTAAAATTTTTTAGTTATAATCGCACTTCACTAACATTTGCAGCAGATAGCGCTTTTTTTATTGGCACATCTTCATCATTTAGTGTCAGTATAAGTTTGTTACCAACAACAACACCTGAAACATATTGGATACCAAATGGTTCACTACCTTCATAGATGTTTATTCCTTGGTTGAGAGGAGCAGTTCATCATCATCATAAGTATCATGAACATCACATTCATGTCAGACCTGTCTAGTCTGTTGGGGATTTAGGGGATTTCCTTAGTATAGGATGAGTTACCCCTGTGTCTGTTCCAGAGACACATTTTTAGGAGGAATAAGGAAAACACCCACTGCCCCTCGACAATCATGTTGTGAAGGTGACTTTTTATGGGTGTGTGAAAACGAATGTGTTGGGCTGAAAGGCATAGATATCATGCCCTGCCAGTAAACCACAACATAGAGTGCCAACAATCTTTGTAAGGGTGAACACAGAAGAAGAAGGATTTCCAACTGGTGGTGTGAGGCTGGCATGGCTGAAAAGTTTTGGGGACTGCTTGTGGCTTCAGGTCCACTGTCAGCATTAGGCTTGGAATCTTTTGTTTTTTTAATTTTTAAAAGAACCACTGGTTTCAGATTATATTACTCTGATCTCTATGATAATGGAATTTGAGACCTAGCCTTTGCAGATAGGGATTAAAAAATAAGAAACAATTTCATAGATTTGTTAACAAATCCTACAACAGATGAAAATCTCAAACAAGTAAAATGATCCTCATGAAATGTTTGTAAACAATATTTTCCTGTAGAGAAATGAGTTAATTACCTTGTTATTAAATCTTTCTAGAACCTTTGTGTATAAAATCTTACTAATATAGAGTAAGAACACACCACATACCAAAGTGATCATCTAAGCCAATGTCTGGTGTAACTCACAACCTTCATAGGAGAAACAGAAAATAATTTATAAATTGGAAAACTGAACTCATCTGTTAAGCAGATCACTATACTATGACTAGTGCCTGTTCTATCACCACCTCTACTGCATTGTATGGAGAGCAGAGTAAACCTGTTTCTTACATACATCTGCAGTAATAATGGCCATTTGAAAATACAGTTGTACTTCCCTACCAGCCAGTGTG